AATCAAAAACTATGAAAATAATTACAGCAGGGACACAGGAATTAATCCTTCAGGGCTCTGCTTCTTCTTCATTGTCCAATCAATAGGCTGTTGGTGTCCTGGATCAACCTGTCCTTACCTGCAGAGGAGGTCTTGGGTCTAGCAATCAGTAAGACTGCAAATGCTGGTGTCTAATAGACAGATGAGGTAACCTGCTGCCTCAGTGGTCAATGCAGCTAGTGTACAGGGTCCTTCCAAGGATTAGGAAAATGAGGCTGGCTTACTGGAGAAGGAAGAGCAAAAATTACCAAACAAAGCCTTTTTCGCTCATACTAATTGTCCACTGATGAGTGACTTTTCACCCCTGTAAGTACATCATTTAAAGCTTAATTACATTATAATGAGTACAATGAGATTGTAAAGGTTTCTCGTGTCGCTGCTTCCACTTCTGCGGACGCAGGTGAGCCAGCAGTCGCAGGAAGATGATGTTAACTGTTTGGTCATATGAGGGCGCCAAAGAGGAACCACAGTGTCACACATGCTGACAAGCCATACACAGCGGACTGAATTAGGAAGTTATCCTGACACCAGTGTGTTGGTTGGAAACTGGAATATGCTGAAAAGAGAATGATACTTCTAACATTCTGTAACACCTTTACCACAATGCAATTGTATATTAGATTGACTTTCTTCATTCAGGGCCACAGCAAATGTAACATTGAAATCCAAGGTACCATTTTATATTGGTTCTGGGATAGCAAAATCTGCACCATAATAGAAAGGGGGTTGGTTTAAACGGCTGTGGTTGGTCCTGCTGGGTGTTTTTCATGGTTAGTTGTGTCACAGAAGAACCCAAAGCTCTCCAAAGTGCGACTATGTGCTCCAGGTCTTCCCCAGATCCACAAAGGGTGCCAATGTAGCACTGCTGACTCCTTGTATTCATTTGGTTCTGTCCAGAGTTTCTATTAGTAGCTGTGCTCCCTCTCGTTAGAAGACCCATAGTACTCTGTGTAACCTGTATTAAATGGCCCTTTCTAAAACAAAAATTGTATACATATAGTAAAAAAACATTCATTTGAACTAAAATCATTACAGCTTTCCTTTTATGTTTCACTAACATTTTGTGCATATTCTTTTTTTCATGGTTTCACCACAATGCAATTTCAAAAAAATAAACATTCTTCCTAAATTAAAAGGTGAACTTTAAACCTTACCATATGGCAAAGTAATGTAAACTTCCCACTTATGTAGTAACCTTGTAGTCAGGAGATTTGCAACATTTTTCACCGTTTAATCAATGAAAAGTAAATATCTGTGTTAAAGACATACATTTTCCCTGACTCCTCCCTCCTTCTTCCTGAACAAAACCTTAGAAATAAATTGTATCTATCCAAATCTACTTCCAAATTGAAGACTTGTGTGTAGAACAAAAAATAGATGTATATTATATTAGAATACACAAATGCAACAAAGTATAGGATGCAAAATATTAATCTCCATAAAATGACAAATTGTTCTTGCACTATGGTGGGGGCTCTGAAACTGGAGTGCTTAACACATGTATCAGAGTAATAAATAATGGAAAAAATATTTTTATTTCGTATTTTATTTATAAAACATTAAAACTAAATTTGTTATAAAAAAATAGCACAAATTGTGCTAGAAATGTTTTCAGAGTCCAAGAAAATACAAACATTTGTGAATATTACCACTTATGGTTATTCAATAAAAAGAAACCCAACGTGCGTTATCTTTTATTTCATGCTTTTTTCACAGTTATATCAGAGAACATGAAAAGGGTCATTATTATAGACAGCCATATTGCTTACTGTAGAAAGTATACTGAGGTAAGATGAAAGATAAAAGTAAAGGGTACTACTGTACTAGCTGCCTCTGTAAGTTGACGGAATCATTTTACTATAACAACCCTAATTAAATTATTAATCTTGAGTGGATACTGCCAGAAAGAATCATTCACCAAATTATCATCGTCCTCAGACTCCTGAGAGGAGAGTAAGGGCCTGTACACACTAGCCCATCCTCTAAAATTGATAGTGCGTTGCGGTTGCTCCGGCAATGTGCATTGTATCACACACTGCCGGAGCTGTCACTGTTTACATTTTTTTTTTAGCTTTATGTGGAGTTTACAATGCGTATATTCTATTCAGCTCCCCGCATAGAGGCCTGTTGCACTGTGCTGTCATGTGGCCACCAGCGCTGGCATCCACTGAGCTGCATTAAAATGCAGCCTGTTTGCATTCAATTGCTGCACACCACCCCCTGCATTGCGGCGTGGTCACTGAACTAGGTGTGAACAAGCCATAAGAGCACTTCACACATATTGTGGTGACCTGCGTTGTTAAACTGCATTGAGCAATTGTTTTCTATGTGTCTCATTCACATCACAATATGGGTGTGATGGGCACTTCACTGTAATAAAATGTGAACATGCTGCATTTTATTGCATCTCACTGAATGCCACCGCAGGTCACCATATGGCAGTGCAGCCAACCGTACTGCTGTGTGGAGACCTGAATGGCGTGTACACATTTGTGGAGTGTACACACTCCACATAAAGTTCAATTTAAAAAAAAAAATGTAAACAGTGACAGCTCCAGTGTGTGCAATACAACGTACACTGCCAAAGCTGCCACGACGCACTAACCACATAGTTACATAGTTACATAGTATTTGAGGTTGAATAAAGACATTAGTCCATCAAGTCCAACCTATTAGGATCTCATTCTAGGAGTACCCGTACCCCTGTATATTACGGTCCCTTAAGAAATCGTCCAAAAGTTTCTTGAACAATTCCACATTATTTGCTGAAATCACCCCTAAAACCACGTCCCCTAAAACACAGATTTTAACAGATGGGCTAGTGTGAATGGGCCCTAACTGTTTTTGATTGTGTGGTCTTTTAAGACACAGCTAAAACTTTTTGGAAAAAAACAAATAGCAATAATTTGAAGTATCTTTCCTGAACAGATATATTTAAGAATGCCTCTACAGAACATTTAAGAAGTTTTATAAATAACAAAAGATTTTATACTTAACCAATTCACAGATAAATTGTGGTGAGCAAGGTTCAATAACCTTGCACACCTCTACTGAGAGATCTGCACAATATGGGCTTCTTAAATAAGGCAAATTGAAGAGTAATGATGGTGTGCAAGGTGCAATAACCCATAGAAACTAGACAGTAGCACATAGCGGTCAAATATGAGTTCTGTCTGGCTGCTATGGGATATTGTGCTCTGCACTTTACCTTTATAAACAACAGTCATGGTTTTGTGATTCCCCTTACTGACCAATATTAATAGAGAAATGTAACCAGAGAAATGTATGAGTAAAAACATGGAAAATTAATGGAATGAATGATCTGATACTGAATAGGGAACAATAAATATGAAACAATGAGCCTTAAAGTGAACCTGTACTAAAGGGAATGAAGTAAACCAAAATCAGCATAGAACTGCATTCATTTGAATGTGATTCTATGTACTTTTAATTATTTTCAGCATTTCCAGGACCCTCTTTTTTGCTAATATCGACTTTAGTTCCCTAAGTTGGAGCAGTGACCCGTCCCAACAGCACAAAACTTTTAGTCAATGAGGACATCCAACATGTTACAGAGTTAAAATGAGATGCAGAATGGGTGCCCAAATACTAACTTCAGGAATTCAGGTTAGTAAATGGCCCATCATTAAGTTTGCATGCTCTGAAAACTAAAATGTACTTGTACATGGAGGCACCTCTAAGTGTACTAATGCCACTTTACAATATAAACCTGTAGTACTGGTGCAGTGAAACCAAACAATATTCCTTTCTGTTTAGCTTTAGGCAATGCAGTGAAGAGTAAGAATATTTGAAAGGTGTCCTCATTGAGAATATTCAGCATATTTCCTCTCCATTGACACTCTGACACACAGGGTGCCTCCAGGATAAGAAATTAGTGTAAATCTACTCTACACAGACAGCAATAAAAACCTGGCAGAGGCCCTATCTGTTGCACATTTAGGAAAAAATAAACAACAGTTCAGGCTGAAATAAGGTTTTGGTTTCTTATGTTTTTAAATACATTGTTCTTTCTTTTTTAGCAATCTTTTCCAATAGTTTACGCTTGCTAGTTTACTGAAAAGCCACATTTATTATTGTTGACACAGGATACAAGATAAAACTGCTTACACATGTGGCAAAAAAAATCTGAAAAAAGCTAAAAAAGAAACAACAATATTTAATAAACATTATAAAAGGGTCTTTTATAAAGCATTTATTATGTCATCTTAATGTGAGAAATACCTTTAAAAAGCAACTCCACCCAAATCTATTTTGGGTATAGTGGGGAAAAAATGTATCCACTT